CAGGCCTTGTCTCTGGTAGGTTTATTCCGGTTGCAGATGGGGCAAGATCTCACGTACGCTTCACAATCCTTGGCCATGTTTGGCCACCAAAATGTGCGTCGTGCCAGATCTATAGTCTTATGTATGTATCCCAAAGTGCCCCGCTAGGGGATGGTCATGGCAGTAACCTAACACCAGGGACTGGACCTCCTTGGGTACCATGATTTGTTCCCCCTTCCAGAAGAGTCCCTCCTTATTCAGTAGGGAGACTCCAGGCAGGTCAGAGACCCGGGTGGAAACAGCCTGCAATTTAGACAACAGCTCAGATTGAAGCAGTAGGAAGCTACCTGCTGGCAGGATGGTGTCTGGCTGGGGGTTCTCTCCAGGGTCCTCAAACATCCGGGAAAGAGCATCTGGCTTAGTGTTTTTTGACCCAGGACGATACGTTATGTGGAGGTTAAACCTTGCAAAAAACAATGACCATCTGGCCTGGCGTGGACGGAGGCGTTTAGCGGTTTTCAAGTACTCGAGGTTTTTGTGGTCGGTATAGACCAGAATGGGATGTGGGGCCCCCTCTAGCAGATATCGCCATTCCTCCAGAGCGGTCTTAATGGCCAGTAATTTCCCGATCCCCAATATCATAATTCCTTTCCGAAGGGGAGAGCTTCCTAGAAAAGAAAGCCACTGGGTGCATCAGCTCCTTGGCCCCTACCCTCTGTGATAACACTGCTCCTACAGCCACTTTCCGATGCATCTACCTCTAGTATGTAGGGCAATGATGCATCAGGATGGTTCAGAATGGGAGCCGTTGTGAATAGCTTTTTCAATGCCTCAAAAGCTGCCTGTGCTGCTGGGGTCCATTGGAAACGTACTCCCACTTTGGTGAGCTGAGTAATGGGTGCTACCAGGCCTGAAAAGTTCTTTATAAATTTTCTATAAAAATTGGCAAACCCAATAAACCTCTGGACGCCCTTCTTATCTGTGGGGGCAGGCCATTCCAGGATGGCCGAGATCTTTTGAGGGTCCATAGCGATCCCCGTGGTGGAGATAATTAGACCAAGAAATGAGATGCTTTTCTGTTCAAAACAGCATTTCTCAGCTTTAGCGTAGAGTCCATGCTGACGGAGACGTTCTAGCACACTCCTAACATGTCCCCGATGTGCTTCCAAAGACGAGGAGAATATCAAGATATCGTCCAAGTAGACGATTACAAAAATGTCAAGGAAGTCCCTGAAAATGTCGTTGACAAAGTGCTGGAAGGTGGCTGGTGCATTACATAACCCGAAAGGCATGACTAGACACTCAAAATGCCCGAACCGAGTGCGAAACGCCGTTTTCCACTCATCCCCCTCACGTATCCTTACCAAGTTATAGGCACCCCTGAGATCCAGTTTAGAAAAAATGGATGCTGATTTTAACCTCTGAAACAACTCTGGAACCAAAGGAAGGGGGGGGGTAGCGGTTTTTGACCGTAATCTTGTTGAGGTCCCTGTAGTCAACACAAGGTCTCAGGGATCCGTCCTTTTTCTCGACAAAGAAAATCCCTGCCCCGGCCGGTGATGTGGAAGGGCGGATAAATCCCTTACGGAGGCTCTCATCAATGTATTCTTTTAGTGCCCCTAGTTCTCGCTCAGATAGTGGAAAAATGCGGCCAAAAGGGATTTCTGAACCTGGGAGCAGATCAATGGGGCAATCATATGCTCGATGTGGGGGAAGAACTTCTGCCCCCCGTGGACTAAATACATCTAAGAATTGGTGGTAGGCCGCAGGCACAATTTGGGCTAACTCGGCATCAGGGCTTACAGCCAGTAGGGCCTGTGTATTTAATGATAACTTAGATAAACAATGTTCCGGACAGTATTGTGAGGGAAACTGGACTGACCCGGTCTTCCAGTCAATCTGGGGGTCGTGAGCTCGTAGCCAGGGGAGCCCCAGAATAACTGGAAATAGGGGGGACGCGATGGCGTCCAAACGGAGGAACTCCTGGTGATGTCCCGCCACTGTGGTGTGTATGGGAGGAGTCTCCCGATCTACCGTCCCCGATTTTATTTGAGACCCATCTGCCAAGAAAATATTCAACCCATGTTCTTTGGTGAGTAACGGTATCTGATGCTGGGTAGCAAAACTGAGATCAACAAAGCAGCTACATGCCCCGGAGTCAACAATAGCCATCACCTGTATGCTTCCTCCTGGGAGCTGAAAAGACACAGGTACAGCCAAGTGAGTGGGGTTGCCTGTGCACACAGTAGATATATTAGAGAAAATAGAGGACTTACAGTATTTCTCTGCACAGGAGCGCACCATATGACCCGCTGCTCCGCAGTACAGACACAGGTTGTTTGCCCGACGCCTCTGTCGTTCCTCAGTAGAAAGGGAAGGCCGCATCAAGCCGAGTTGCATAGGTTCGGCTCCCTCTGACGGCTCTGGGCCCCGATTGCCGACACTGACCCTTGGCATGACTGGTACTCTTGGCAGCATCGATGAGGTTCTTTGCCCCTGGCTGGACCTCTCCTGTCTCCTTTCCCGCAGTCTGCGATCGATTTGGATCGCACGATCTATTAGACCTTCCAAGGAGTCTGGAACCCCTATTCTTGCCAAGTCGTCCTTCAGTGGTTCCGACAGTCCCAACCGGAACTGGTGGTGCAAGGCTGCGTCGTTCCATTGTGTATCTCCACTCCAGCGCCTAAACTCCGCAGCATAATCCTCTACAGCCCCGGCGTCCCTGTTGTAGAGAATAGAGGGCTGCCTCAGCCGAGGCAGCTCGATGCGGGTCATCGTACAGCTGTGCCATTGCCTTAAAGAAGGTGGCCACAGTGTTCAAATGTGGGTGGTGGGCCTCCATCAGGCGATGGGCCCATCCCTGAGGTTCGCCCTGCAACAGGGATATAACAAATCCCACCTTCACCGATTCTGAAGAGAAGGTCCGGGGTTGCAGGTCAAAGTATAGCTGGCAGGAGTTTTGGAAGGCCCTGAACTTCCCTCGATCCCCACTGAACCGCTCAGGGGTCGGTACTCTTGGTTCTGGCGGAGGAATTGTAAATGCTGCTCCAGTGGAAGGCCCTGCTGAACCCGTGGCGGGAGGTGTTCCCACTGAGCCCAATGTTGTGGGTGTTGGTGCGGCCAGGCTCTGAACCTGTCCCTCCAGGTGCTTGTATCCCTCTTCCAGGGTCTTCACCGCTCGTGTGAGTGCTGCCAGATGTTGGCACATCTCTTCCCAGGGTGAAGGTCCTCCTCCAGACTCTGTCATGGCCGTATGGTTCTGTCAGGGATCCTACAGCGGTAGCCTCTAGCACTCCACAGACCGGATTCCCCCAAGGCGCGGAATCTAAGTCCCTACCTGCTTGTTCACCAGGGCCCCTGATGGTGGGGATGGACTTGGAGCAGGCCGAGACCAGGTCGCGGCCCTTGAGTTCACCCAGCTGTGGTAGAAGCACCGTTGGAGGTGTATAGCAGGTGAGAGTCTGATGTGAGGAGGTCACAAGAGCAGCGTCAGGCAGGCTGGGTCGGTAACAGTGGTGGCAGCGTGGTACAAAGTCAGCAGGCAGAGGAATAAACTGGTCACAAGCCGGGTTCGTTAACAGGAGATCAGAACGTGCAGGGTTAAGCAGGAGAATGGTCAGACAAGCCAGGGATCAGAGCAGGAGAAGACAGCAGTATCAGGAACAGGCTGGGTCGGCAACAAGGTATTCAGGAACACTGGATCAAACAGGAACACAGGTAACAGGTAAGACCATACGGCACTTGAGCATTGCAAGAGCTGGGTTTAAATAGGCCGCCCAACTCCTGACAGGCGCTCCTGGGTCCTAGTGCCTGCCCGGCGCTGTCATCGGTGACAGGCGCGCCTGGGTCCTAGTGCCTGCCTGCCTGTATGTCTTGTCAGGATTCTACGCATGTGCAGATTCGATCGCCGAGGCGATCTTCCCATTCCCTGACAAGGGCCCTCTAACCCCTTGTGTGCTGTTTATTGTTACTGTAATGTCTTATGTATTGTCCCCCCCTCTATTGTACAGCGCTGAGCAAACCCTTTGGCGCTATATAAACTCGATATAATAATAATAATAATAATAATAATAATGTTCTACTCATGAGCTGCAAACCTACAGTACACGTGTTGCCAATTTGTGATGTGTTTCTTTTTTTTTACCTCATTGACACCGCCTTCCTAGAAGAAAAGTTTCCAAGCTGCCATCTTTCCATTTAAGAACTATGGAAAAAACCTAATAGGAATACATATTTGGGATTTCTGCACTCCAATACATTAGTTAGTGAGTTAGAAAACCAATAAATGTTGCATTGTTTTTGATTAACCGCTTTACCGCCGCCCCTACAGCAAAAATATTGTTACAGGGTGGCATAGGTGCGCAAAATCAGGTATATATATATATATGTGTTATTTCGCATTTCTGGGAAGGGGGTGCATACAAGCTTATCTCAATGTGTAAGATTTGTTTTATTGTGGGGACTGTCCCTATTTCTGGAGTGTATAAAAACCTGTGTTTTCTGTTCAATCGAGTTCCAGTTTGGCATCTAAGCTAGTCTCGTCTATTCATGGGTGCAATGCCCAGTTATAATATTTTGGTTCTGTGTCCCAATGGCGAGGAAGCAATTTTCTGATGGAGTCACCTAATCGGGGGTGACAGGCGTTCCGTCACACTTACCCAATCCCATGTCCTGGGATCAAATACCGCAGCCAGGTGGGCTGGTATTTTGCACACAAAAGGGACCCAGAGCTTTTACAAGTTGTCACTTTGCTGAAAATCTACTCAGGGGAAACCAAATTCCTAGGAGGGGACTACTTTGCTAAAGGCTGTTGATGTTCCGGCTAGAACACAGGTAGAATATGCCCCCCAGCCAGCACAGCTGGGACCTCCATGAGCAGTAGAAGCACAGCTGGACTGCCCAGAAGGGCAGCAGCCCTCCAGGATGGGATCCCTTCCTCCTGGGCAAGAACCCCTCTGCTCCAAGCTACCAATGCTTCCTCCCAGCTACCTTCTGGACTCTCTACCAGGGTTTGGCTAGGACCAGGGGCGGACTGACAACTCATGGGGCCCCCAGGCAATAGGGGATCATGGGGCCCCTGTGTCTTTGCCCAAACTCAAAAAAAGTCTATGAAAAAGGTACCAGGGGCATCTCATGGGGCCCCCTACTGACCCCGGGACCTCGGGCAGTGCCCGAGTTTCCAAATGGTCTGTCCGCCCCTGGCTGGGACCACATAAATATTAAAACTGTGAATTTGACTATACCAACCCACTATGTTCCAGAACCATCCAGACAATAAGGGGAAGCAGTCAACTCACAGTCTGAGACCAAAGCAATCATAGGTAGCTCCACTGATTACAGGAGAGCCAAAATTTAAATGTACCAAACCTAGCACCTATCTAGGAGGGTGCTACATAAGCTACGACAGCTACACTGGGAACACTAAACCTCTTGATCTCCAGTGGAACGTTTTACTTCTTAACTGCAAACCTACAGATGATGACAATTTTTGATGTGGTTTTTTTTTTTTTATCTCCTTCACACTGCTTTCCCTGAAGAAAAATTTGCAAGCTGCCATCTTTCTGTTCAAGAAGAACTATGGATAACACCTGATAGGGGTGCATGTTTGTTACTGGTATTTATTTATTTATTTCAGGTACTTATATAGTGCTGTCAATTTCCATAGCACTTTACATATATATTGTACATTCACATCAGTCCCTAACCCTCAAGGGGCGTACAATCTAAGGTCCCTAACTTACATGCATATACTAGGGCCAATTTAGAAAGGATCCAATTAACCTACCAGCATGTCTTTTTGGAGTATGGGAGGAAACCCACGCAGGCACAGGGAGAACATGCAAACTCCAGGCAGGTGGTGCCGTGGTTGGGATTCGAACCAACGACCCTAGTACTGCCAGGCGGAAGTGCTAACCATTTAGCCACTGTGCTGGTATTTTTCCAATATATTAGTTAGTAAGCCACACATACTACAGGACTTTGATTATTTATCTCTTTGCTAACACTTTTCTTTAAAGACATTTTCAGGCTGTTGTTGCTGAACACGTGGTACTTCATACATAAAAAAGACAAAATCCTTCCGGGTAACTATAATCACCACCAAGTGGCCGCAGACACCTGACTATATTTCCAATAGTGACAGAAATAAATGCAATGGATTGGTGCTGCACTACCCAGCGAACAAATAAATAAATAGATAAATACATAAATAAATAACCCCGCACTCAAGTGTAGGAGTATAGGAACTACTAAAAACAACGGGTGAAAAATCGTGACCAAAGCAATGGACAAAAATATATAAACATCTGCATAACACAAAGTGTAATTAAAGTGCCAGTGATGAACAAGTGTAAAAGTGACCAAAGATAAATAATAGATGAACCTGAATTGTAGAAAAATATGACACAATATACAAGTCCCGGGGGCGGACTGACCATTTGGAAACTCGGGCACTGCCTAAGGGCGCGGGGTCAGTAGGGGGCCCCATGAGATGCCCCTGGTACCTTTTTCATAGGCTTTTTTGAGTTTGGGCAAGTACACAGGGGCCCCATGATCCCCTATTGCCCGGGGGCCCCATGAGTTGTCAGTCGGCCCCTGGTAAGTCCCAAACAAAATCAATATAGTGTACAGTCCCAACAAAATCAGTGAATCTTCAGCACAAGCCATGAATCATCAGTGATCACTGCAATGAATCAATCCTCCACCAGCTAGCCTGTGTGCTCACCTTCAAACTGCGACCAACAAAGGGTCATAAGGCACTGAATACACTCAATCTATGATCTCGCTGTGTATCTCCCTCGATAGTAGTCAATCTATTTATTTGTTCACTGAGTAGCGCAGCACCAATCCATTGTATATACTTCATACATTATTATTGAATTAGGCTTTTAAAATTGCCCGCAACCTTTTCGGGGAGGTTCAGGAGTCTTCATGGGCATTTTTTTCTTTCATCTTGAGAAGGGATGGAGGGGCTTTCGCAGTTAGGCACACCCTCCTGCCTACATGCCTGAGCTAAGGGCATATAGATACCAAGAAGTCAGGGGCGGACTGACCATTCGAGGGCCCGGGGTCAGTAGGGGGCCCCATGAAATGCCCCTGGTACCTTTTATAGGCTTTTTTGGGTGTGCTCTGAGTGTGGGAAAGGACACAGGGGACCCATGATCCCCTATTGCCCGGGGGCCCCATGAGTTGTCAGTCCGCCCCTGCAAGAAGTAAATGCTACATGGATCATCTGCCCTCATTCAAGATGGCTGCAGTTAGAAATGCTAGGGGGTTGTTTTTCAAAGTAATTTCTCAACAAAACAAAGCATGGAGACATGGATGAGTTTGCTTTGAATGTTAAAAATTTATTTAAAAAACAATTATCGGGGGGGGAGGGGGAGGAGGCAAGTAAAAATATATTGTTTAACCTCTTTGCGCCGGCCGCACGCAAATGTGCGGCCTCCCGGCGCCTGGGCCTTGAGCAGCCGCACATTTGCATGCAATTAAAAAAAAACACATGTGCTGAGAGCGTGCGCCCTGCGTGCTCCTAGCACACATGTCCGGTACTCACGGAAAGGTCCCAATCTCCTCTTTCGATCGGGACCTTTCCCGATCATGTGACCACCATGACGGTGAATCACGGCAGTCACATGCCCTTAAAACCCCGCCCCGCCTCTCGGCTTCTGAAACCCTTAAAGGGCCGGGAGGAGCCAGTGCCAAGGGGTTAAAGAGTGAACATCTGCTTTATTGTAAAAGTCAGAAAAAAATACATTAAAAGGGTTTTTTTAAAAATGTAAAAGCTGTTAATCGTATTATGCATTTTCAAGAACATCTTTGTCCATTTAACAGGTTATAATATTACAAAAAAAAAAATAAAATATAAAAAGATGAAATATAAGGTTTGTATGTCCTGAGGAAAACAATCTAAAACTAATTTAGGTTGACAAATCAGAGGTACAATTGTCAAGTTACCTGATGCACACTGGCATTGCTAGCTTCGGCTTGGACATCCATAGCCATGACCTCTGCAAAAAATAACAAATCAACACCAATGAAATAATAATGTTTGTAAACTGAACCAAAATGAACATAAAATAAAAAATTCAAGCAGGGTCCTCCTAACCAGGGGTGGACTGACCATTCGAGCACTCGGGCACTAGGGGGCCCCATGAGATGCCCCTGGTACCTTTCATTGGCTTTTTCATAGTATTTTTTGGGTGTGGGCGAGGACACAGGGGCCCCATGATCCCCTATTGCCTGGGGGACCCATGAATTGTCAGTCCGCCCCTGCTCCTAACCCTATTGTATTGAATTGCACTGCAGACTGTTGATTAGTTATAAATCCTGTATAACAACGGTAGAGTACAATGACACACAGGGCTCTGAAACCAATAAAGCAAGTTTTATCTATTAAGAGCTAAAACTTGATTCTTCCAAGGAATCTCTAACTCCCCAATTCATTGTAGGCTGTTATGGAGAACAAACGTCGGAATTCTCCTGCACAATGTTCCTCTGTTGGTGATAATGCTGTGTAGAGGCAAAGCGCTAATCACAGGTCAGAAATAGAATAGGATTGTTAAAGGCCGAAGGGCAAATCGGTGACCCGGCGAGAGGTATTACCCAGCACCTGTGTGACAGCCCACCGTCATCGCAATTAGGAGCAGCTGTGCACCACTAAATCCAAATCAGACCAAGGAAAAACAAAAAGAAGGAACCTGATCAAGTGACTAAAACATTACGCATAGGATGGAATTATTTTTTCAAATGTACGTAAAGCGAAGCGGTCAGGTCTCTAAAGATTTAAAACCTATACTGCAAGAGAAGGTAATGGAGGTTATTATTATTATTATTATTATACAAGATTTATATAGCGCCAACAGTTTGTGCAGTGCTTTACAAGGTGAGGGCAAACCGTACAGATACAATTCAATACAGGAGGAATCAGAGGGCCCTGCTCGTTAGAGCTTACAATCTAAATTGGGGGCTTATCAAGAAAATCAACAAAACAATTGGGCACAAATCAAATGGCCTCCCATTCAGCAGTCTGTGTGACAGTTTTTTACAGTGTATGTGCAACCCCTATAATCTTGAGCCACCAACTGTGGCAGATTTACAGAATTCCAATACATTTAGAAGACAGATCTTCACATTAAACCCAAACTACGGCTCACACGGGCCACATCCGGCCCTCAGCTAGGGCCAGTGGTATATTCTGAATGTTCACCAACTGAAGACTAGGGTCAGCAGAGGCTGCCTTTGGTCTCTGCTTCTGATGGAGACCCTGATGTAAGGGGGACTCTGATGGGGATTTTGATGTAAAGTGGGACTCTGATGAGAACCCTGATGTAAGGTGGGACTTTGATGGAGACCCTGATGTAAGGAAGGGGGGAGGGGGGACTCTGGTTGGGATTCTGATGTAAGGTGGGACTCTGATGAGGACCCCGAGGTAAGGTGGGACTCTGATGAGGACCCTGATGTAAGGAAGGTGGGACTCTGATGAGGACCCTGATGTAAGGTGGGACTCTGATGAGGACCCTGATGTAAGGTGGGACTCTGATGAGGACCTGATGTAAGGACTCTGATGTAAGGAGGTGGGACTCTTATGAGGACCCTGATGTAAGTTGGGACTCTGATGAGGACCCTGATGTAAGGAAGACACACATGGGGATTTTTTTCAGCCCGTAATTATATGTAAAATATACGATGCACTCTCGTACTGAAAAATTGGGAGCCTCCAGCTCTTATCATATGTGGAATTAAAGCCTAACTGTAGATTTTGTGTTACTTTAAATAGTTAATTTGGACCAAGCTCTAATTGGCTGAGGTGGAGAGGCGGGCACATGACATCACAATCTCTACTTCAGCCAATCAGAGGAAGCCCTGTATTCCTTCCAGTCCAGCTCTATGTTGTCCCGGGAGTAGGATGGGAAGTCCCCATTCCGCTGCCAGAAAACAGCGCTGTATACTTTTTACAGTTTATATAGCACTGACAGCAGGCGCATTCCTTAGGAATGGAAATGGTTCATTTGGGCCAGCTTGGAATTAGGTTATAAGGAGTATCTACCACGCCAAACAGGAAGACCACTTATTTGCAGGCCCCCCCAAAAAAATGTCTTCAAAGAGCTATTTGTAAACAAATAGATCACCTCTAAAAAATATTACCTTGGCCCTGGCCTCCAACACTTCTAGGAGGCATGTGCCATCCTTCTAAGATAGGAGCTCAAAATCCCACAAGGATCCACTTCAGCCCATTGTGCTTCACCATAGCCCACCTACCAAAAATTTTGAAAAAAGAAAAAAAAAAAAAAAAAAAAAAAAGGAAAATATATATATATATATATATATATATATATATATATATAAAAAGGCTGACAAATGTTCTCATTCCTCAGGCAAGAGGACAGAGCTTGCGTGACATATGGCATTGTTCTTGTGGATAACCCAACACGTTTTGAAGTATTCATCCTCGAGTGGTACAGAAAGCATCTAGAATATACAAGCTTTTCAGTTAACATTTATTTATGTATTCTACAAAGTTTTTCAGAATTTACGAATCACCAGCACCTTCACGTGTGAATGCTTTAACCCACGTTGGGTTATCCACAAGAACAATGCCATATGTCATGCAAGATCTGTTGGCATTATGATGTTTGGTGGAATAGAGAGTGTGTAACTTTACCCTCTGCTTGAGGAACGAGAAATATTTGTCAGCCTTGATTTTATGAATAGTTTTTTTCTTTTTTAGAAATGTCTGTAAAATAAAAAGTTGTATGTTTTTAGCTATATATTGTGTTAGACGTTCTGGTATAAAATGGTTCCTAAAAAGTACTACCATACAAATGTTTTATAACACTGGGATTTTACATTTCTCCAACTGGAGTTGGAATGTCCCATCTACCTGTTGGGTCAGTGATTTGATCTAATAATCTGAGGTTGTAGCCAGAAGCGTATTTACCACAAGGCAAACAAGGCACTTGCCTAGGGCGGCATTTTCCAAGGGGGCAACACCTCCCCCCAGAAGAAGGGATGAAAGAAGGGACAAGTGTGCCATAGGAACCAGGTGGGATCCAAGAGAGTCTGTGGGCTGCTTGATGGTGTATGTAGAGCCTGACTCCCGTTCCCAGGGATGTCTGGAACTTTGAAGAGGAGTGTCTTTCTCTCTATTGTGGGGGGTAGTGGAAGGCTCTCCCGATGGGGGGGCAGGGGTGTTGATGGTCAGTGTCAGGATCTCTCCACAGGAGGGGGAAGGGGGGGGGTGTTGGTCGGTGTCCATTGGGGCAGACGATTTTTGTTGCCTAGGACAGCACAAAACCTAAATACACCACTAGTTGTAGCATCCCTAAAGGCAGTCAAATTGTTCCTGTTGAAGAATGGGTAGGGAATGGTCTCTGGTATGGCATTTGTCCTTTGGTGCAGTCCAGTTGCTGTTGTCTGGTGTTGGTGCTATGGGTTGTATCTGCGGGTAATTCGTAATTTTACCTCAAGTGATGTGACACATCTGGAGGCCTATCATGCAAGTTTTCTCTACTGATACAGCCAAATTTCTGAGAAATGTATTCCTCTTAGTGTCCCTTTAATGTAAACCTGCACTGTAGGAGCATGGAGGCTGACATTTTTTACCTCTGCTCCCTGCCCATCAAGATGATTCTGTGATTTCTGAACTTTCTCAGTCACCGACTTAAAACAAGTATGCAGATTAGGGGTTCTAAAATCCCAATGGCATTCTCTTACTGCCCTGCTTGCTTCTAGTCAGTACTTTAAATGACAAAAGCCAGAGAAAACCAAGAAAATTTGCATTTTTCAGAAGAAGGTCTTCTTGAACGTCTTGTATTTGCTCCTATTTTATCTGTTAAATATACTGTATCGCTGGAAGCATTTTACTCAATAAGTGGAAATGAATGGCTGGCGACCCCACCAGAAATGCTGCAAGCTAATTATTTCCTCTGCTGTCTAATGACTATTATCCATAATGTTGTTCCTAGCTATGTCTGTGAACTACAAAACACCCCATATGGAAGAAAAATATACTTGAAATATATTCTAAAAATATTCTTCCCAAATACATTGCCATATATCAGAAATGCTAACAATTTTGGCCATATTATATATATATATATATACATATACACACATATATACACACACTGTATGTTGAAATGTGTTTTTATTACAAAATATATGTAAAAAATATTTTAAAACTACATTTCATATATACTGTATGTCTTTAAAAATACATTTTTGGAATGCATTTACAATTATATGTAACAATATATGTTAAAATTACTTTTTTTTTATCCGAGGTGGCTACCTCACTGGCGGGTACCCCAGTACGCTTGTCTATACAGACCTGTCTATTGGGGGCTCATATCCCAGGGGTCCCTGATGCCATTATGAGATTGATACATACTATATGTATTGCCACTTTATGGTCCATTGCCTTACACTGGAGGTCCAATGCTGTACCCTTGGCCTCCATCTTACACAGAATTGATGCTGTAATGCTCATGGAACGCATTCACTATACTCTGCTGGATAAGATGCACTTATTTGATAAAAAAAATGGAGGGATTATAGACATTTATTGCATGATTAACAACATTTCCAGTGAAGATTCTATTTAAAAAATACATATATTATTTTAAATCTCACCAAAAGAAAGCTCTATTGGTGGGAAAAAAGGATGTAAATTTAATTTGGGTGCAGTATTGCATGACCGCACAATCGTCTGTTAAATTAACGCGGTGCCGTAACGCAAAAAATGGCCTGGTCAAGAAGGGGGGGGGGGTAAATCCTCTCGAGAGCAAGTGGTTAAGGTCATGGAAAAATCCTGTTTTTGTAAGGATTAAACCAGTATACACAAACAACAAGACAACCATTTAATAATCAGTGGTGCGGTTTTATTGACTGAACATTAAAAAAATCAGATAAGAATTACCCATTGCATAATATATATTGAATATTCATATTTTTTCCTTTTTTTTTCAAATATCAGACAGTGTCAGAATAGAAATTACACATACAGTTTAAAAAGTACAGTAAAATAATAAATAGCACTAAAGGCCACTTGTATAAAATTGTGTTCCCTTATCAACCAAAATCTGAAAAGCGTCTCAGTAGCATGAAGAATTAGCAAGCAAGGCACAAATACAAATATTTATCTGATGCCCTTGATGAAAAAGTCGACTGCATTAAAAGCCATCTTTTTTTTTTTCTACTTATTTCGGGACTGAAAAAAAAAAAAAAAAGTGTTGCCCATACCAATGAGATTTCAGCTGTTATATTTCAATTTCATGTTATTTAAAAGGTTTACTTTTTATATACCAGATTTTGCTGTACATGACACCACTGAGTTATCCCACCAATAGGATGTTCACTTCCATTTTCTCACCTATGGCAGAAAAATATTAGCTGAAATATGATTGGCAGGTATGGACAACAGACAGTTTCTGTAGTCTCCACTACATCCAGTTTTTATACACCAGCCCTTGTGACCACAGGACCTGATGGAAACTAAAGTTTGAAATCAGGCAGACCAACCCTCGAAAATGTTAGTTCTTAGTAACTTCATTAAATGACGATTTTTTAAACACTGGATTCAAAACAACAGCTGCTGAAATCAAGTATAGATCTTTCTTCAAATTAACTTCTGACGCACCTGATCCAACACTGATTAAAGCAACTCAGGGTAACACACGGTGCATTCGAGTTGGCGCCCATTTGGAATGGCAACGCAACATATACATATACAGTATAAATACCTGCATTCACTCTATAGCACAACACACAGATGTCAATGGACGTGTGCAGTGTGTTGGGCAGTGCTACGTTGCCAAAAATAGTGAAGGAACTTTTTTTGTACACTAAAGTTCGTTGAAAGGTATCTAAACCCAAAAATAAGATTTGTTGTACTTACCGTAATATAATTTTCTCTTTTATTTATTGAAGGACACAGAGGAGATCTTGATCTCTGACCGCTGGGTTTTTGGCGCTACCTTCAAGCAAAAAATAAAAAAAACCCATGTTCAAAGATCAAAATCTGCACTGTGTCCTGAAATGAAAAAAAAAATTGGATTTTTTTTCTACTCTACTAATGTAAAATCCTTTTCTCTGAATTAATTGACCCCCCCGGTTCACATCTATGCGACCATGCGGCCTGCGTTTTGCACAGACGGACACGAGAGCCCATTAATTTGAATGGATTCCCGTGCCACGCAGGGAAGAAGTCCCTGCACTTCTTTGGAAAACGCAGCCCTCATGGGAACCTTGGTTCCCAGTACGGTTGCGTTTTCCAGTGCGGGCGGCGTGCCATTAGAACTAATAGCACACGCCCGCAGGTCCACATTTCTCTGTGCGGGTGGTGCGGCTGCACGGATTTTCATGCGGATTCGCAGTGGCACCACCCGCACAGATGTGAACCTAGGGTTAAGGAAACAATGGAGATCTTGATCTCTGGCCATTGAGTTTTTTGATGGAAGGTGATGCATTAACCCAGAGTTTCTCAACCATTTTTCAGTCAAGGCACCCTTTAAAAAATATGGACAGTTCCGAGGCACCCTTTAAAATTATGGACAGTCTGGAGGCACCCTATTCTAAAATGGGGTGTCTCAAGACTGTTCAGAATTTTAAAAGGGCACCCCATTCTAAAATGTGAAAAACTATTCTAATCGTTTTATAGAACGCAGCAACATCCACACATGTAGGACACCCAACATTAGAGGTGATTTATTCTTCCAAAGCAAATACACATTTGTACACTGGTACTGACTAGTATTCCAATGTTTCTCTTCTCCCTCAGTTTTTCTCCATCACTGAGCTAATGTGACCCCAGCACTGATGGAGAGGGGCAGGGGAGGGTCAAACTAGGATGCTGTGCAGGCAGCTGACATCCTCATTATCAACTGATGATGTTACTGGTTGTCAGGATGCTGGCGGCTAGAAGGTTGTGGCTTTGAGTAACTAAAAGTCAGGCTTGTTCCTCCCATGACTTGTATACAAATTTTGGACAATTTTTAGACATTTTGCCAAGGCACCCTTGAAGAAACCTTAAAGCACCCTGGTTGAGAAAGGCTGCATTAACCCAGTGGTCAGAGATCAGGATCTCCACTGTGTCCTTAACTGAACTAAAGAGAAAACAAAAAGTGTAATATATTGCAACTTACAAGTCCTTTGTGCTGGCTGCATTGGTTTGCTTTTTTTTAGGCTAGGAACCTTTTCAGCAGGTACAGAAAATACACGTAGATCTTGCCAAAAATTAAGTGTGTTGTGTAGTTATCTTTCTTGCATAAAGTACTTATCGCATCAACTACCATTTAATGGAGATGAGCAAATGCAGAAATGTATGAAGTTTAGTCTGTGTCACAACCATAGACACAATAGAGAAATCAGTATAGACATAAAGGGACAGGACGTGTGTTAATTGCAGACTTCCTTGGGAAAATTAGGCTGAAAAAAACAAAAAACAAAACAAATGCAGCCACCACATCTAATGACTGATAAACCGCTATATATTATATTGTTGTTTTTAGGTTTAGATAAGCTTTAATTGCCTTTTAAAGTGAAAGGGATGCCTTAATGCAACAGCCGTCAAAGTACAAAAAAATGTGCATTAATGTACGTGTTAATGCAAAACGGGTCTCTCCAGCCAGCTGCAGGCTTCTCTTGGTTCCAACTAAGCTGACCCATGAAGCAGGTAATTAACAATCATATTCACAATGGTTATGGTACACCTCATGGGAATTTTGTTGATGGCCATGTTCAGGAGGTCCAAAGTTATCCTCCTTCTAGAACTCCACCTCTCCAAAATTGCAGCTGGGTGGACAAATCCCTTAAGGCTGTCCAGTAGTCTAAGATGAAAGGGGAACATTTCAAAAATGACTGAGAATGAAGAAGTGTGGGAATTAAAAAAACAAACAAACATGCATACTCCCCTCTACAGCTGCAACATTGGTTCAATGCTGCAGTTGTCCCCTGCTGGCTCTAAAAAAGAGAAACTAGCAATCACGTGACTGCTGATTGTTCAGTTCTCAGTCTTCAGCATAGAGTGGTGACTGTCAATCACTGCTTTATGCTCCGCCCTTCCAGTGCTCACTGAGAGGCTGAGCCAGCTGCTGGTCAGGCATCTGGGTGGATCCCGACCTTGAAGTTGGGATCCTTGCAAAGCCTTGACTGGTCCTGTGACATCAGCCAACAGCAAATTTTACTCCATTGTCTGCTGACTCTGGGTCATGGGAGTGCTGCTGGCCAGGCATCTGGGTGGATCCCATCCTTGAAGTTGGGATCCTTGCAAAGCCTTGACTGGTCCTGTGACATCAGCCAACAGCAAATTCTACTCCATTGTCTGCTGAATCTAGGTCATGGGAGTGCCGAAATTAGTGCACTCCTGTAACCCAGAGGAGAAGTTGGGCCAAAAAAGCTTTAGCCATACTTCTCTTCTAAATCTCCTCTATCTTATTTAAAGGATACTTAGGGGTCTATTTAAAAAAGAAAATCACACAAAAGTCATACAACTTTCACCCAAGATTCACATATTTTTCTATTTGGATTAAATTTGAAAAATGTGTAAATCCTGAGGGAATGTTGTGTAAAGCTTATGTGAAAACATTTATCAACAGACCCACAAAGTATATTATTTCAGCCTCACATTTCATGATCCTGAATTTTTGAACTTTTTAGATCCATCTGGTGTTTTTGTTACTTCAGAAAAAAAAATATAGTTCGGGCAATCTGTCAAATTTTCATAAAATTCATTAAAGCAAGAATGATACACATCTAAACATTTTAAAATGGACCTATACTCAAATGGTAACATATAGCTATGTCAGAAGGATGGGAAAATTCCAGCAGCTGCTTATAATTTACTTTCCTTCACTCCTCCGGTGCTACATTTGTCTGTGAAAGCAAAGTAACATACTGTACATTATATTACCAAAAGTATTGGGCCAGCCCTCCAAATCATTGGACTCAGGTGTTCCAATCACTTCCATGGCCACAGGTGTATAAAATCAAGTCCCTAGGCATGCAGACTGCTTCTACAAACATTTGTGAAAGAATGGGTCACTATCAGGGGTTCAGTGAATTCAAGCGTGGTCCCGTGATAGGTTGTCACCTGTGCAATAAGTCTATCCATGAAAAATATTCCACGGTCAACTGTTAGTGGTATTACAACAAAGTGGAAGCAACTAAGAACAGCAATTCACCCACGAAAAATGACAGAGCGGGGTCAGCGCATGTTGAAGCGCACAGTGCGCAGACGTCGACAAATGTCTGCAGAGTCAGTAGCTAAAGACCTCCAAACTTCATGTGGACTTCATATTAGCACAAAAACAGTGCGTAGAGAGCTTCATGGAATGGGTTTCCATGGCCGAGCAGCTGCATCCAAGCCTTACATCACCAAGTGCGATGCAAAGAGTCGGATGCAGTGGTGTAAAGCACGCCACCACTAGACTCTAGAGTAGTGGAGACGTGTTCTCTGGGTGATAAACCATGCTTCTCTGTCTGGCAATCTGATGGACATGTCTGGGTTTGACGTTTGCCAGGAGAACGGTACTTGCCTGATTGCATTGTGCCAAGTGTAAAGTTTGGTGGAGGGGGGGTTATGGTGTGGGGTTGTTTTTCAGGGGTTGGGCTTGGCCCCTTAGTTCCAGTGAAGGCTTCAGCATACCAAGACATTTTGGACAATTTCATGCTCCCACCTTTGTGGGAAGAGTTTGGGGATGGACCCTTCCTGTTCCAACATGACTGTGCACCAGAGCATAAAGCAAGGTCCATAAAGACATGGATGAGCGAGTTTGGGGTGGAGGAACTTGACTGGCCTGCACAGAGTTCTGACCTCAACCCAACAGAACACCTGTGGGATGAATTAGAGCGGAGACTGTGAGCCAGGCCTTCTCGTCCGACACCAGTGCCAGTACTTTTGGCAATATAGTGTATTTAGTCCCTCTGAGCAATGAGGAGAATTTGACTCACTCACCTTTCTCCCACATGACAGTGGTGGTCCTCGGTGATGGGCCAAATCAGCACCCAGTGCTGTCACATGAAGACAGGAGGAGGTTCCTCAGTCTGGTTTAGGTTCCAAGTCATGACTTGGAGCCTACACAGAAGTCCTCCCACGGAGTAGCAGGAGAGTAAAAGGATGGTTAAGTAAAAGTAGCTGGAGCATTAACGTGAACATGTTTGTTGCTATGGATGAGCACTGGTTCACTTTAATAACAGAATATGTTTTGCAATAGCTCATAAAAATGTTTAATTCAAATCATCAAACCCTACTACCTGCATCCAGCATCTGAGCGGTGATGGTAAGAAATATTTTCTTAGTACATTTTTTCTACATCAGGCTTTGTGCACTTGAATGGATCATGCAGTAGGTGTGGTTGGGCATCAGAGCACTGCATCACAAGTTGGAGTTCACCAGAAAACCAACAAGGGAGTGGGGTGGACTGATGCATTACAGCAATGCTGAAGAATTGTCAGAGTGACAATTAGATTGTTATTCTTTACCAAGGTTTTTGCAATGTACAAAAGAGATATTCTAATTTTGACCACCTCTCTATTCAACTTGGCGCCCATCACCAATTACACCATCATTAAAACTAAGTACTGAAAGGATCATAAGATTTCACCTACTGATATGGTTAAGCTACTTTTTCCGAACTTTCCCCATCTGCAGCACAAATATACCAGGACAGCAGTCTAAACCTCTCAAATACCACTCCGGTCCTTCAGTGTAAGGAAAGTGCAAGGAAGAAAAAAAAAATGAGTTACTTTCCATTTGGTCCCTATAGAACAGTGGTTCTCAACCTGTGGGTCGCGACCCCTTTGGGGGTCGAACAACCCTTTCACAGGGGTCGCCTATGACCATCGGAAAACACATATTTCCGATGTGTAAAGAGCAGCTACTGTGTAGAAAGCAGCTGCTGTGTTGAAAGCAGCTACTCTGTTAAAAGCAGCTACTGTGTTGAAAGCAGCAGTATTGGAGGTAAAATGACACTTCATGTATTATAATTACTGGATAAATAATTTTATGGTTGGGGGTCACCACAACATGAGGAACTGTATTAAAGGGTCACGGCATTAGGAAGGTTGAGTACCACTGCTATAGAACAATCCCCATAAATGCCCATTGGTCACAATGGAATTTACCTATAATGTTTTGCTATTGTATGTAGCTATATTATTTTGCAATGTCAATCCTTAGCAATGTGAAGTTTTAGAGGACATAAAGGAAGCTGTGCACTGACAGCATCATGGCAGTTTTCTATTAGAAGCTTAGAGGGTCTCTGAACTTCTGACATTTATCCATATAAAGAGAATGCCCTGAGGTTGTTCGGAATGTATCTAGTGTGTCTCATTTCCAAACCAAAGAAATTACCGTGGAGGAAACAACAGCCTAGCGACCACAAAAGCAATAGCTTGTCATCCTTGGGTTTATGACCTTGAAAAATACAGTCTG